TCTTAATTATGAGCATTCACAGTTGAAAATTTCCATCTAATCACTGCTTTCACTGCATAAGTTTTGTTATATTTAAATTTTCATTCATCTCAAAGCATTTTCTAATTTCCCTTGTGATTTCTTCTTTGGCTCATTGGGGATTTAGGAATGTGTTGTTTTATCTTCCCATGTTTTTTTAATTTCTTAAATTTCCTTCTGCTATTGATTTCTAATTACATTCCATTGTAGTCAGATAACTGAATCATACTTTGAATGACTTCAGTCCTTTCAAATTTGTTGAGGCTTGTTTTACAACCTAAAATATGCACTATCCTGGACAATATTCCATGTGCACTTGAAAAGAATCTGTGTTCTGCTGTAATTGGGTAGGGTATTTTATAAATGTGTTTTAGGTCTAGGAGGTTTATACTATTTGAATCTTCTGTTTCTTTGTTGATCTTTTACCTAGTTTTATTATTGAAAGTGAGGTATTGAAATCTTCAACTACTATTGTTGAATTGTGTATTTCTCTCTTCAATTCTATCAGTTTTTGCTCCCTGTATTTTCAGTCTCTGTTGTTACATGCACATATGTTTATAATTGTTATGTGTACCTGATGGATTAACTCTTTATCATTAAAAAATAGCCTTTCTTGTCATTTAACATAATGTCTTTTTTTTTTTTTTTTCTGATGTTAGTATAGCCACTCCAAATCTCTTTGGCTACTGTTTTTATGGTACATTTTTTTCCATCCTTTATTTTATTTTTCACTGTATTAACCTTTTTTATCATGAAATGTCTCTCTTACTCTCTAGTAATATATTTCTAGTCTTAATGTCTATTCTGTCTGTTACTAATATAACCATTCCAGCTCTCTTACATTTATCTTTTACACGCTTTTATTTCAACCTCTTTGTATCTTTGAACCTAACATGTGTCTGTTCTAGGCAGCATATAGTTGGATCATATTTTTAAAATCCATTCTGCCAACCTCTCTCACTTTGAATTGGAGTGTTTAGTCCATTTACATTTAATATAAGACAGGATTTACACCTGCCACTTTGCTATCTTTTTCAGTTAATTCTTAGTGGTTGTCCTGGGGATTACAATTAATGTCTTAATTTACAGAGAAATTGCAAAAATAGTACAAAGAATTTTTATATAACCTTACTTAGGTTCTTCAAATTTTAACATTTTATCACATTTGCTTTATTATTTTCTCTCTATGTGTGTGTGTGTGTGTGTATATATATATATTATGTGCATGTGCATATAAGATGTGTGTGTTTTGTAGTTGTTGTTCCTGAAATGTGTGTGTGTGTGTGTGTGTATATATATATTATGTGCATGTGCATATAAGATGTGTGTGTTTTGTAGTTGTTGTTCCTGAACTGTATGAGAATAAATTACAGACATGATGCCCCTTTACCCTTAAATACTTTAGTGTATATTTCCAAAAAATGAAGATAGTCTCTTAAAATAACTTCAGTATAGTTATCAACACCAGGAAATTAGCACTGATCCAGTATTAAAATCCTTTGAAACCAAAAAGTAAAATAAAACAAATAAAACTTCTTGTTTTAAGATCTAGTCCAGCTAATGGGTACAAAACTATGCTATCTAGCCTAAGTGATTCATTGTGCAGTATATACATGGATTGAAACAACACACTTTACTACACGAGTATGTACAAGTAAATGTTAAAATATTTTTAATTAAAAAAAAAAATGATTCAGTCCAGGATCCCTTGTTGCATTTGGTTGTAATATCTGTCTATTCTCCCTTGGTCTTTCATGACTTTGACATTTTTAAAGAAGAGAAGCTAGATATTTTTTAGACTGTTCTTCATTTTGGGATTCCTCATGATTGAATTTAGGTTATACATTTTTGGCACATACCACACAGATGATAATTGTTCCCTTCGTAGTGCATTGTATCAGGAGCACGTGTTGTTTGTCTCATTAGTAGTTTGTCTCATCATTTTTAATAGCTGCTCTTAGTTTTAATAGCTGCTAGGTATATTTGATGATTTCATATGTGATCTGATTATTAACTCCTGTAGGAATTAATGATAGATATTCCATAGTAATGACATATACTCACTTCAGAATCAGCCAACTGATTGTGTGTGTGTGTGTGTGGTTTTATGTGCTTTGACCCTAGGTCAATAAATTTAAGCATTAATCTGCTAAGGTTGCTGTAACAAAATACCAGAAATTTAGCAGGTTAAAACAACAGAAATTTATTCTTTCACAGTTCAGTAATCCAGAAGTCTGAAATCAAGGTGTTGACAGGGTTGGTTCCTTTTTCGGAGTGAGAGTGAAAATCTCACATGCCTATCTCCTTACTTACGGTAGTTGCTGGCAATGTTTGACATTTGATATTTCATATATGATTTGATTTCTTAACTCTATAAAAATTAACGATAGATATCTCATAGTAATGACATATAACTGCTCGGAATCAGCCAAGTGAATTTTTTTTTCTATATGCCTTAATTGTACTTTTATCCTAGGTTAATAAATTTAAGCATTTAATGTGTGCAATTTTAAGACTGTCCTAAATTTCTTATTCTTTGGGTCCCCTTAGGTTCCTTTAATTAAAATTAGCTTATTTACAGTACTTATGAATTAAATGTATTTCTGAAGTGTTGCACTTTAAAAACTGAATTTTTCCCAGACATTATGATTCTAAACCTTCTCAGTTCACCACGCCCACCTTCCCTCCCCCTTTCCAGTTTACATTGTCTTCTGTACCTAATTACCTTCCTGTTGGTTGTCTTATTTTAATTCCAATTTTGTCTCAAACCTGAAAAAAAAAGTGTTGGATTCCTTTAGATATCATTGATATGGGATTGAAAGTAGTTTTTTTCTGTGTGCATTTATCATTTCTGTTTTATATTTATGGTCTTTTCCTTTATTGAGGTTAAAGATGATATTTTTAATGGAGTGCTTTTATTATTTTATTTTATAATTATTGAATATAGAGTGAATTGTGAAAATATTTAGATTTCCAAAAAACTGGAGTAGATGTTAGGCAGTTTGGGGTTCAGTTTGCTTTATTACAAGTTAGCATGGTTAGAACTGAAGGAAAGTCTTGCAGTTACCCACTAATAGTTGAAACTGTTAGCATGGATTACTTTTCCATTTAACAGTACTCGTTAAATACTGACTTTGTGTTAAGCACCAGGTTCTGGAAATATAGAGGTGGTCAAAAATAGACAGCATTCATGCCCTCATTGGGCTTGGTTTACTGGTGAGAAACATAAAATAAATCACAAATGTAAAATTACATCTGTGAGTACGTCGTGCTATTCAGGAGAGGTTCAGGATGGTCAGAGTATATAGGAATTGGAGGAATTTGACCTAGAAAGACTTCCCTGACAGAGTTAAAGATGTATAGGAATTAAGTAGGTTTTAAAGAGGGCAGAAAGATGAGTTCAGGAATATTGGCCTAAAACAACCTTTTGTTATGCGCATAGATTCTGTGGGGAGGAAATTCAGACAGCAGTTTATCTCTGCTGCATGATGTCTAGGGCCTCAGCTGGAAAACTGGCGGCAACTTGATGGCTGGAGGTGACTGATGGCTGGAGGCTGGACTCATCTGAAAGCTCCTTCACTGGCCTTCAGGGGCTGGCTGTCCGGTGGGATCTCAGTGAGGCTGTTGGACAGAACACCCGAATGTGACTCTCCATTTAGCCCGGGTTCCCTCACGACATGGTGTCTTGGTTCCAGGAGTGAGTGTCCCAAGAGAGAGCGAGCCAGGAGGAAGTTGTGTTGCCTTTAATGACCTAGGCTTGGACATCATGCAGTGTCACTTCTGCTACATTCTGTTCGTCCAGGCAGGACCACACACGGTCCCACCCTGGTTCAGGGCCAGGGGAAATAAATGTCGCCTTTTTTTTTTTTTTAAGATAACTGGTAAGGGGATCTTAACCCTTGACTTGGTGTTGTCAGCACCATGCTCCCCCAAGTGAGCTAACCAGCCATCCCTATATAGGATCCGAACCCATGGCCTTGGTGTTATCAGCACCACACTCTCCCAGGTGAGCCACGGGCTGGCCCTAAATGTCGCCTTTTGATGGGAGTTTGGCAAGGTTCTAGAAGAGCATTTGGGCCCAGAAATATGCTATGGCCTTTTGGGAAAATAGTCTGATACAGGGAGCATTATGTCTATCAAGAAACCAAATCCCAAAGAAACCCTCAGGAGTGCAGAAAGCTGGAGAGAAGGGATAAACCATTCATTGCCTTGTAGAGCATTTAAAAAATGATTTTGGGTTATCTTAATAACAAAAGGAAACCATTAAGGTGTTTTAGGGTTGACATTAGATTTGTGCTATATGAAAATCGGTATGGAGACCAAATGTGTGGTGTAAGGGTGGAGATGAGGGAGACCAATTAGGAAGCTGGTGGAGTACTCTAGGCATAAACAATGATAGCCTGGGCTAGGTAGTAGCTATTGAAACGGACAGAACTAGATGAATTGGAGGGAAATTTAGGAGGTCTAATCACCACGTCTTGGGGGTAGAGATGGGAGAACACAGTGTTGTGAATGATTCCCTGGTGTCTGGTGTCTACTAGATGAATGTGGTGCTGGGATGGAGAACATGAGTAATGACCAGGATTGAGGGGAGAGGGTCATGAATTTGGTTTGGGGGACACATTGATTTAGAGAAGATGCAGGCAGGTGCATTTGCTGGTCTGAAGATCATAGGAGAGATCTAAGCTGGAGATAGAAATTTATGAGTCATTGGCAGATAGTAGATAATTGAAATTTAGAGTATGGATGAGATCATCTAGAGAGATAGACTGGAACCAGAAGGGAAGAGGACCTGCCGCTGAAATTCGAGGAACTCTAGTATTTGATGGCTGGGATGGGGAGCATTTACCAGGAGAGGAGATAGACTAGGAACAGCAGGCCTGTGGGAGGAGAACAGGGAGTGTGCTGTCCTGGGAGGTAAGGGGAGAGAATCTAGCATTCCAAGAGGAGGGAGTGGGCAGAAGTAAGATAAGGACTGAAACATGGTCATTGGATTTAATGATATAAAGTTCAATGGTGACCTTAACAATGGCCACTTTAGGGCAGTAGGTCCTTGGAATCCAGATTGGGCTAGTGTCCGGAGTGAGTTAATGGTGGGGAGAGGGAGAAGCAAATATAGATACCTCTTTGAAGATATGTATCCCCTTAGTGAAAAAAGAGAGGCAAGGACAGGATGGCTGGAGATGAAGATAGTTTTGGTATTTTTTTAATGAGAAATTGAGAGTTCATTATTGAAGAAGCAGATGAGTTTACTTTCTGAGAGAGAGAGAAGGAAACCAGAATGATAAAAGTTGAGAATATTTGGAATATTCTTGGTGAAAGATGTGATTATGAGAAAGAAAGGTGGAGTTCACACTATTGGTATTAATAGCTACCATTGACTAAGCGTCTACTTTGTGCTAAATTCTAAGTTTTTAGCAGTCACTAATTAGCTTATTTGCTTTTTATCTTAATCCCTTTTTGTCAGAAGAATGATGAAAATGGAAACTGCTCAGGGGAAGGAATTGAATTCCCTACAACAAATTTATATGAACTGGAAAGCCGTGTTTTGACTGATCATTGGTCCATCCCTTACAAGCGAGAAGAATCACTAGGCAAATGCCTCTTGGCTTCTACTTACCTAGCAAGACTTGGTGAGTTTTCAAACCTCAGAACACATGAGGAAATTTTTTTCAAAGGAGGCCTGAGTTTAATCTTAGCTCTTGTCATTGCCTGTCTGTGTGATCTTGGACAGCTCATTTATTCTCTTTGTTTATCCCCTGTGGAATAAAAACTTTGAATTAAATCGACTGCTTTCTTCTAGCTCCAGCAGTGTGTAAGATTATTTACAATATAACTGAAAAGCTTTATAGAAATTGAAATTAATGTTTTCCACAGAAGCTTGGAGCACTTTAAAGTAAGGCTCAATAAAGAGGCTTTTTTTTTTTAAGATAAGAAAGTAATATTTATTTAACAAACATTTTGTCCATATTAAGTGCCTGGCATTGCCTTAAGTGCTTTACAAATATTAAGCTAATAGAGTAATAAAATATCACTAGGTTGGAAGGATGGGTGTCAATATAAGGAAACTTGTATACTATAAATCTATAAAAGAGAAAATAATTTATTTTCATATTGAATTCAGTTATAAAATAAAATGAATAGGGCCACTGTTTTGCAGGGTGTCTTTTTTTTTTTTTTCTTATTAAGAGTGTGCATAGTTTACTACCATGATTAAATGTGAGACACATCAAAAGGAAATATTTTGACTGGGATTAGATTTAATATTAATAGGCTTTTACAGTGCATTTATGACTAGCTTCTTAAAGGCAGCAATTATTGAGTGCCTGTTAGGATCTAGGTATTGTGCTAAGCAGTGGATCTGAAAAACGTGTGTGTGTTCAGCAGTATTCCCAACCATAAGCAAAATCCATTATTGAGTTTAAGAAACAAATACATTTCTTCCAAAGGATGATTTTACAGTATAATCATTTTCATTCATTCAGCAAGTATTTATCACTTATTGTGTGAACTGTGCCAGAATTCTGTGTATCTTATTACACAGAGTTCATCAGTTTGTTTTAGGGAAGAAGAGTAATTTTGGCACTTATTGGAAATACTTGTTTTTATAGAACTGTTTAGGAAGACAATAATGGCTAGTAAGTAGCTTCTGGTGGTGTATTGTTAGCTATTTAATCAGATCATTGAAGTTATTCTGACATGAAAACATAAGTTCAACCATTTCAGTTCCAATTAGTATTTATTTAGTCTACTGCTGTGATTGTTTCACAGCCCATTCCTTCATCAGAATGTATATATTCTACTTTTAATAATCCCTTAAGAATCAAGATTTCTATAATAAATAGTTCCATATGTATGAATTTGGCATGATATATATGATTTTTACAAACTACCTATAATCTAAACAAGGTTTATCCTTTTATTTATTTTACTAAGGTCTTTCCGAATCTGATGAGAATTGTAAAAGATTTATGGATAGGTGTATGCCAGAAGCATTTAAAAAGGTAAGAAAAATGTGTTAATCTGATTTTTTGGTGGGAGTGAAGGTAGACTAGCTTTTTATTATAGTTTTAGTTTTTTATGTGTAAGACCAATTTATGAATCTTGATCAAATAAGGACTTCTCTAATATGAAAAAAGTAGCTCTGAATTGGGGACTTATAAAAAATTTACTTCTTTTTTATTTAATTGTTTGCACATGTCTTTGGTTGATTGTTACTTTTACTTCCTACTATTTAATTGCTGAAGAATAGGTTAAGACTTAATTATACTAGGGAATTGCACATTTTAGTAAACTAAGGATTGTGGTGCTTAGAATTTATTTGTCAAAGTGTGAGCCACTTTTCACATACTATTTTACTGAGACAGAAGTAGCTATCTTAAATTACTGAAAGTTTGACTAGGTTAGGTATTCCTATTGGCAAAATGGCATGTGAGTGGCAGCCTCTCTTTCAGAGCCAGAATGACATGCTTGCTCCTGTTCTGGTCACATCTCTCAGAAAGCAATTTTTCTTAACAGTCAGAATAGGAGATCACAGGAATCTTGTTTCTAAGAGCCGTCTGACTCAGCATGATTCCCTTTTCAGGACATGAATCCTGAATTCTCAAAAGAGCAGGGACTATGTCTGTCATAGACAACTGCTGTTTTCCCCAGCTATAACCAAGTGCCTAGTTCATAGAAAGACCTCAGTAATTTTGTCGAATGCATAAGTGAGTCTCCTGCTGTCGTGTACTTCGGGATTTTGACATCTATTTTTGTCCCACATGCACGTAAACCACTAGAAATACAAATGGGTGTAAAGTTTGTATTTATCTTAAAATCCAGTAAAACAAACTGTCTATTGCAAATGATTATTCCCAGCTGCATTTTGATAGAATCTCCCTTGATCTCAGACTTAGAAAATAACAAAATTAATCTTAGAAACAAAAGTAGCTTCATGTTTGAAAAAAAGGAGAAATCTTTTAAAATTGTCATTAGGATAGAGATTATATGTAATTAAGACTTATGTTCATTTTATTTTATTTTTTTTATTTTTATTTTTTTCCTTTTTTCGTGTCCGGCAACGGATCGCAACCCTCAGTGTCGCGCCCGTACCGGACCGGGACCGGCAACGGGATCGCAACCCTCGGCGTTGCGTCTGCACCTCACTCAGCCAGTGAGCGGGAACCGGTCTGTATGTGGGATCCGAACCCTCGGCGGGAGCACCACCGCGCTCCCAAGCGGCGCACCGTAGCAGTGCACCACCGGGCCAGCCCAAGACTTATGTTCATTTTAGATGAATTCATCTACCAATTTGTAGTTTAAGTAATTTTGAACTTTTAAGAATTCTGGTAACAACTGGCCAGTTAGCTCAGTTGTTTCAGAGTGTGGTGCTGATGAACACCTAAGTATTTTAGACCCCTGTTACTGGGCAACAGAATATTAAAAAAAAAAAAAAAAAGAATCATAGTAGCTTTTTTAAATAGCAAAAAAAATTTTTTTTTTCCTTTTTGTCTTTTTTACTGACCGGTAACGGGATCACAACCCTCGGTGTCACGCCCATACCGGGGACCGGCAATGGGATCGCAACCCTCGGTGTTGCGCCCGCACCGCGCTCAGCCAGTGAGCGGGAACCGGTCTCCACATGAGATCCGAACCCTTGGCGGGAGCGCTGCCTCACTCCCAAGCGGCGCACTCTCCAGTGCGCCACCGGGCCGGCCCAATAGCAAAATTTTTTAATATAACATGCTGAGACATATTATATGTATAAATTTGCAGAGAAGGAAAATGTAAATTTATTCAGGGACATGTAAAAGGGCTTATTAGTCTAAGGAAAGGATCTTTAGGTTGAGGATTTCCAGATCCAGAAAGCCCTGTATAAAGTCAGTTCAACAGCAAGTTGCATATTTAAAGATGCTTCAGAGAGGTGTACAGAGGTGCTTCAGAGAACTGTTTTATATTATGCTCTCAGCTGTTAGTAATAGTATAATAAAAGGTCAAAAGGTTGTTTTTCTGTAAAACTATGAGCAAAAAGATACCCTGTATAATGTTATTCAATTTTATTAATGTGAAAGTGTTAAATTCTTTTACTGTTTAGAGCTATTAAAAAGGTTCTCTTCCCCATCAATTAGGCATGCTTCCTTTTATTAAATGAGGAGAGCTACAGAATTCTGTGTGCCCTTAGGCTTGGCTGCCAGGAAACTCAGTAGCTTTTGATGGAATTGGTACTGCTTCTCTTAGCTGTGTCTCCTGATAGGATAACCATCTCTCTCTTGTCTTCCCCAGGCTTTTTCTTACAAGCTCAAGTATTTACTTACAATACTTAAAAGCATTTTAGAAGTAAGGGTGTGAATAATAAGTGGCTGAATGAATAAAGTGCACAAAAGGAGCTTTGTCGTCATTTCTATGGTCATCACCTTGCACCTCCAGGCAGCCTGGATTTTTTATTAAGATAGTCAAGCAGGGAGGATAATCTAATTTGGGCCATAGTGCATGGTTATGTTTAAACCTTGCGTACACCTTCCCCACAAGGTGTTGCCTGTCTTTTCTTATCTCTTCTAGAAGGTAAACATAACTGCATCTTTAACATGAAAAAAATGAACAAATGAGATGGCACCAGAGGGAGTGATGCTTAATTCACATATATTTTTATTTTGTAATCACATGAAGCTTCTTAAATGCTAATCTCTGCTTCATTTTGCTTTATTATTTAATTTTTAAGTATAAGAGGAATATATATAGTCAGGCAAAAAAATTCTTGCAAAAATAGTAACTCACTGGTTTATATAAAATCAGTCCTATGATTTTTGCTTGTTTGAGCAAATAGTACAGCTAATTGGTATTTAGAAAATCCGGAACCAAGATTTTTCTCTGTGGCTATTGAAGTTTGGGCCCTCTCAGGCTATTCTTTTTAAGCGTTTCTCAGTGTGGCCAAGATAAAATTTTTATTGTGTAGTATTTTCCCTTTGAAGGGGAATCTTACAAAAACATGAAACCACCATACCAATTTAAGTGAAATCCTTTGATTTCTCATTCCCTGTTTTGGCAGTTGTTCCTGAATTAGACTTCTCCAAGGACTAGAAGACTGAGGATACGGGGAGGGGACCCAGTTTCTCTCCTTTCTAATGAATCTGAGAAGCCATCTGATTATAAGATGCACCATTGTTTTATATTTGATGTTTATGTTTAAGAAAAATAGCTGCAAAGTAAGCAGTTACAATGTCTTATTACTTAGAGCTATTTTAGATTTGCTTAAACATTTAAAATATTATATTACTTTTGTACATACCAAAAAGGAAAATATAAGCAAAGTAAATAGTTTAGAAGACATTGCTAAAAAAATTTTTCTCATTCAGAGCCCTGCTGTCATGTGGTCAACAGGTGGGAAATGCAGTCCTATTTCTGGGATGTTAGAAATTGTGAAAAGAATATGTATGTTAGAATTCAGGAAATATAGCATCCATTTCTTAGATTCCAGAAATCTTGACAGCCAATGGTCAGGATATATTAATAATGCCTTACCATTTATAAAATGCTTTGATGTTTGTTATATATTTTGATCCTAGTAACATCTTTGTGAGAGAATTTAGTTAAATTTGTCCAAGCCCACACAGCTAGAAAATAGTAGTATCAGGAATTATGTCAGGTTTTTACTGTTCTACACAACTTGACCACCTACCCTAGTAATAATGAAAAATAGAGGAGCAAATAAAAATTTTCTTTTAAGCAAAGTACTTTAATGCAAAGGAATTAAAATTTAAAACAAAATTTGGTGTTGACTTTGAAGTAAATGAACAAGTAAATGGACTATGGCCATGGGTCTTCTAAAGTCAGTTATCTACATTTTTTTTTTTTTAAGTGTATTTTGGTCAGCATCTCTTGATTATTTGAGATTGACCTGATTAAATGTAGATTTATTTTCTTTTTTCAAGTTAGACTCTAAACTGTTCTTTATGTTTTTGTAGCTCCTGACATCAAGTGCTGTTCACAAGTGGGGTACTGAAATTCATGAAGGAATCTACAATATGTTGATGCTATTAATAGAGCTGGTCGCAGAGAGAATTAAACAAGATCCAATTCCCATTGGTCTCCTGGGCGTGCTTACAATGGTATAGTATTTCTAAAATGAAATACTTTGTGTTCTCATTTTGTTTAAAATACTTGCTATTCTCTGACTTTTAATTAATAATGGGTGATAATGATTTTATCGTTAAAGATGTTAGCTTAGCTTTAGGGTCCTTGCTTTTTATTTTAAAAGCACTGCAACCACCTCGTGATTTCAGTTGGAAAGAAGTACCTTTCTAATTTGAATGGATTTTTCAACTCATAGAGTGATTAAATAGCTTTGTCTTAGCTCTCTCTGATTATTCACATCTTAAGTGCTTTCTCATAATGTATTCATGTAGTTTGGTTTTTGGCTTTTTTCCCCAACAGATAACAGCTGTATGAGGAAAGGGCACTCATGTTTTTCCCTCCTGACTTCTGTCTTCACTGCCCCTATTGCCCTGCTCTCCCTGTGGCAGCCCTAGCACATCTGGCGCGTGGGCATCACCTTGCCTGAGTCAGCCCTCCCATCCCATTACCTCCTCTTCGCTCACAGTGAACATTGAACAGGACAGGAAAGCACCACATTAGTCCTCTGCCCTAGCTAAGGCATATGTTTTGTTGGTATTTTTGAAAGATTCCACTGATGAAGGAGTCCAAGGCTATATTTTTATCTTCTTTTCTAATGCTAATATGTGTTGCTATAGAAATAGATAAAAATGTTTCTTTGTTCTCTTTGAATCTAGGCTTTCAATCCTGATAATGAATACCATTTTAAAAACAGAATGAAAGTGTCTCAAAGGAATTGGGCAGAAGTGTTTGGAGAGGGAAATATGTTTGCTATTTCACCTGCATCTGCTTTCCAAAAGGTAAGCATAATTTTATTTTATCTATTTATAGAGAAATATATTGAAAAAGAAGATTTCTGTGCTGTTAAAATGACAATTTACATGGAAGGATTAAAACAATCTTTGAAAAATAACAAATATTCCATATGGCTCATAAAATCACTTAATTTTTTTTAAAGATATTGCATATTTTTTTCATAGCTGTTAACTAATAATATCATGAAGAATTTTATAGATATGAAATGAGAAATAATGACTTCAGTACCCTGTCTATTGGATTATCAGAACTCCATTTTAATTGTCCCAATTTCTTAGAGACATTTGAGAGACTGGAACATTTGAAATGATTTGGAATGACTAATTATATCTAGAAAAGAAAATCTAGTAGTCTCATACATAATTTTCTTTTAAACTCAGTAAGCATTAAAACTTGCTTTTCAGGCCCAGAACCAGTATCTTCAGTATCTGGTTTTTGGGTTTTTTTTTTTTGCTGGCCAGTATAAGGATCAAACCTTGGACTTTGGTGTTGTCAGCACCATGCTCTGACCAACTGAACTAACCTGCCAGCTTTTATCTTTATTTTATATTCCAAGGTCTACAATATGCCAATTACGTTATACAAGGAGTGCATAATCTAAACAGTCCTTTAGTTCAAACACTGGTATTTGAGAAGCAGTTGAAAGAAGTCAGATCTACTCAATAGAAATCTTGTTTGTTGTTTTAGCAGAGGTTTAGCTCAGCAGTCATTTACTGAACATTTACTATGTGTCTGGCATTATTCTAGGTCTTAGAGATATGTGTATAAATAAATAGTCCTTGTCTTTAATACAAAGAGTAGTAAGACGTGGTTCCTAGCTTATAGTATAGTGGAAGAAATATGAAAACAAAAAATTACAGTATAATAATAGGCACAATTATAATAACATGTATTATGCATAGAGTACAGGGAGGGGGTGGTTATTGCCACTTGGTAGACCAGGCACACTCCAGAGAGGAGGTAAGAGCTGAACAGAAAGGGCAGTGATTATGTACTTTAAAATTTAATCCCTACAACAACTCTACAGTTAGGTACTATTTTCATTCCTATTTCATAGATGAAAAACTGAGATAGATAGATAGATAGACGTTAAGTAATTGCCCAAATTAACAAAATTAGTTATAAGAATAACCCATGCTCCAGCCTCAGAATCTGCATTCTTTAACCATATATAGTACTGCCTCCCAAAATATTAAAATCTTCTCTTCGGGTTTATAGTGAGGATTAAATAACAAATGTATATAAAAAACACTGAACATAGTGGTTCACTATAGTAAATACTCAGCAGACGTTCATTCTTGTCCGTTCAATTTATATATGCAACAGCTAAGACTGAGAAAGTTTCAGTGTTTTTACCACAAAAGGATTCTCTCTCCTACAGAGGCTCTAGATCCCCACTCCTCTTGCCTTCTCAAGCATTTTACTCCTTAGATTGTTCTGTCTTTGGTATCCTCAATCTTTTCTCTTTTGAATTATTCCCGTTGTATGCAACATGCTCTGGCATTTCCCATCTTTAAATATTCTGCCTTTAATATCACATCCCTCTCCAGATTCAGCATGATTCTCTGGTCTCCTTCGCACCCATACCTCATGAAAAATTCCATGTCTTTCTCTCCCAGTTATTCTTTTAGTCGTTACCATAAAATGTTAACTTATTAACTAAACAGAACCTAAATTTCATCAGTATCTTTTTTTTTCCATCAGTATCTTTATTCTCCTCTGAGCAATACATAAGACCTTAGAATGTTTCACATGATCACTCCTCTCCTGATTTATTATCTTTTTATCTTTATTATGCATTATCTTAGTCCTCTCCTATCTTTTTGATCCCATAAAGTATAGTGCATCCTATAATGTGTCCTTCAGTAAGGGTCCGTTGGTGATTGTCTTTGTTTTTGATGGTCTGAGTTTAACTTTATTTCCCATTCCTTGAAGAATGTATTCACTGAGTTTTAAATTCTAGATTGATACCTATTTTCTGTAAGAATGTTAAAGATGTCATTTCAGTGACTTTTGGGTTTGATTATTGCTGTTGAGAAATTGGCTGTTGGTCTGACTTGTTCCTTTGTAAAAAGTCTGTTTTTTACCATGGCTGTATTTTGAGATCTCTTCTCTCTCTTTGATGTTTATCAGTTTGACTCTTATGTGATTAACTTAGGTATTCTTTTTATTTATTTTGCTTCAGATTCATTGGGCTTCTGAATTTAAGGACTAATAACTTGTATCTATTCTAGAAATTTATCACCATTATCTTTTTAAATATTGCCTTGTACTACTCTGTTTCTGTTGCTTATAACAAAATACATAGAACTGGGTAATTTTTAAGAAAATGAAATTTATTGCTTCTACTTTCTGAGGCTGGGAAGTCCAAAGTCAGGGAAGACATCTGGTGATGGCAACAGTGACCCAGGGGTCTCACATGGCAGAAAATGGCAGAGCAGAGAGAGATAGTTCCTTATGCACTCTCATTTTAAAGCCCTCAGAACCATGCCGCTGACCACCATTAATCCATTCACTATGGCGTGGACCTACAACCTAATCACCTCTTCAAGGCCCCACCTCTCAATTACCATAATAGGATTTCCAACCCTCAATAGTTACAGTGGGATCTAAGCTTTGGTGTGGTTAGGGGGACATCCAGTCTACAGCATGCCTCTTCCGCATTAGTCTCTCTTCTGGAACTTTGATTGGATACACGTTAGACCAGCTCATTGTGTCCTCCATGTCCTATAACCCCTTTCTTATTTTCCGTCTTTTTGTCTCCTTGTGCTGTATTTGTGATAATTTTTTTCCAGATCTGTGGTCCAGTTCTAATATTTTTTCTATTTGTATCTAATCTGTTTAACCTGTTTATTAATCTATTTAACTTTTTCATTTTGGTTACTGTATTTTTCATTTTAAAAAATTCTTTTTTTTTTTTACTTTAGTCTTTTTAAAATTGTCTCATGTTCTTGACTCATACTTTCAATTCTCATTTTGTTTAATGCTTAATTTATATTGTGTCTGATATGTACAGATCTGATTCTGCTGGCTTTTACTCACTTATTTTGTGTATATGCATGTGTTTGTACAGAAATATATTTATACTTATTTGTGTGTTTGTTTTTTTGTGAACTCATGTTTCTGAGAATTTAGGGGTATTTTGTGAGGCCTAAGTTGAATGTTCTTTCCTCTGAAAAGGATTTACTTTTTTGCTTTTACTTCTTCCAGGTGGCTGGAAGCACTATAGTCTGGGATGGCTTTAGAATAAATTCTCTGCTTAAGTTTTTTCATATCATAAAGTTAGTGTGAACTTGAGCAGCAAAGCCATATGAGGGCAATTCTGTGGTTACAAATTCTTAGATAATTTTTTTCTCTCCTCTATCCAGAACCAAAGTCAGAGTAGGCAGGCTTCCTTGTTTTCTCTTTCTGCAGGTAAATTTATTTCAGTTCATCTTCATTAGGTTCCAGCTTTATGTGACAATCTTCTGAGTTTCCCTGCCACCATCCTGGCTTTGTGTCGTGTTTCTCCTGAAAATAGAAGCTCCAGGTCATCAGGGATGCCCAGATGCTGTAGAGTGAAAGCTGGCTTCACAGTCCACTTACCTCAGGATTCCTGCTTTCTCTTTGTTCTAAACTTCGGAACTCTTTGTTGCCAAGTTGGCTATTTGTTTTAGAAGATTTTTTTTTTTTTTTCCTTTTTGTCTTTTTTCGTGTCCGGCAACGGATTGCAACCCTCAGTGTTGCGCCCGTACCGGACCCGGACCGGCAACGGGATCGCAACCCTCCGTGTCGCACCCGCACCTCGCTCAGCCAGTGAGCGGGAACCGGTCTGTATGTGGGATCCGAACCCTCAGCGGGAGCGCCACCGCGCTCACAAGCGGCGCACTGCAGCAGTGTGCCACCGGGCCGGCCCTTAGAAGATTTTTTTAATGTTTAGTGGTGTTTGTTATTTTCAGTTGGAGAGCTGTTTAGGATAACTCGGCTGAAAGTCCCCATGAACTCTTCAGAGCATTCCATTCTGCCTTCTTTTTCTGCCATCCACTGAAATCAGTCTTGTTAAGGCACCAACACCCCCAGGTCTCCAGTTTGGAAGGAGATGTCCCTTGCCCCCACCAACAGCACTGGTCCCAGTTGCTCCCTCCTCAAAGATGTTTTCTACTTGCCTTTCAGAACACTTCAGTCTCTTGCTCTTCTACCCCCCAAGCCACATTTCCTTTGTTGACTCCTTCGCCAGCTTTGATCTAGGGCCTTCCTCTCTTTATTCACGGTACTTTGAGAAATATCTTCCATTCTCATGGATTTAAATGTCACCTTTATGCTGATGGTCCTCTCATTTGTGTGTGTGGCCCGAACTTCTTCTCTGAGCACAACAGACTTGAAGAAGAGTCACCTATCACCTCTTGGTTGCCCCACTATTTTCAAACTTAGTACACCTAAAATGGAACTTCATCTTGCCTCCCCAGCCTGTATTCTTCTCCTTCTCAATAATTGCATCACCATCTACCTTGATGCTCAAGCCCAAAACACAGGAGTGAGCCACAATTCATACCTATTTCTTATTTCTCATACCCAAACCAAAAATAGGCCCTTTGATATGATCTCAGTATATCTCCATTTGACTTCTCTCTCTCTCTTCTTCTACCATCCTACTCCAAATGCAACTGTGACCTATTGAATCACTGCCTAGTCTTCTAACTGGTGATGTCTACTTCTCACCGTCATCCCACCGTCCTTTTCCATTCTCCACAGAACCCAAAGAGTGCTCTTCTCAAAACACAAAGCATGATATCCTCTCTTGCTTAAGACGTTTCTGTTGCTTTTATTCTAATCACAGTCTACAAGTTTCTGCATGATCTGGCCTCACCTCTCTCTACAGCCTCGTTTATGGCATTCTCCCCTGGCTTACCACGTCTCAACTGGGAGAGTTTTCTCTCAGTTTTTCAAACAGAGTAGGCTCTTTTCTGCCTTCCCCAAACAGGACCTTTGCCATTTCATCCTCTCTGCCTGGACTGTTCTTTAAATGGCTAAATCTATATCGTTCTTTAGGTTCCACCATAAAGATTGCTTCTCCAGAGAGCTCTTTCATGACCATACCCTGAGTAAAGAAGGCTCCTCCTATCTTTCTGTTGAGTGCCTTTTGTTTTTCCTTTTGTGGGACTTAGCACAATTGGAATTATCTTATGTATGTGGTGATTTACTTCGTTTTAATTGCCCTCCTAGAATACGAGCTTCGTGAAAGCAGGTACCACATCTCTTCTTAGTCACTGTTCTATATCCGGTCTCTAGAACAGTGAATGTTCGGAAAAGGAAAGAAAGAAAGAGAAGGAGAAAAGAAAAGGCTTGATTAAGGGCATTAGGTAATGATACAGCTGGGACTAAAACTTTAATCTTTTGATTCCTGATTTACTGCTGTTTGGGTTGCTAATTAATTCTTAATTTCTAAAATATAACTTCCTTAGAGAATTTAACTCAAACTATCCTGTAGCTTGGCGAGCTTAACCAACTGATCTCAGTTATCCAAAAATACATAAAATGCTCCACATTGTGGCATAGACTCCCAAAATTGTATACAGTGAAGTCAAAGACTCACATTAGGAAACATTTGGAAAAAACCTTTTAAAATATTTTTCGAATTTTTATATTTTTTTCTCTTACTTTTCATTTAAGATAAAAGAAATGTAAGGGTTAATGGGGAAGTTTTATATTGTCATCTCAATTTCAATTTTCTTTTCTCATAGGAGCCTCATGGATGGGTTGTGGATTTGGTAAATAAGGTACACAACTTTTATTAACATGGTCATGTAATATGTTTTCCATTTTCTAATGAGATTTCCCACAGTTTGGTATTTTGAGCAAATGACAGCTACAGAGAATAATCAGAATTTTTTCCTAAGAAGATAGGTTTTATAGTTTCTTTTTTTGTATATACAACGTATGTACAGATGAACATCAGCTTTTGCACTTAGTACATCTCCTGCAGCATACCACAGGAGCATTAGAATTATCTTCATGACGATTCTCTTGAGACCAGTGTTATAGAGCACAGTGATAAAGTAGGATGTGGGCATTAGTTACTTGCTTAAATTATTAATGTTTAGCATTTTAAAATTAACTTGTGCCATTTTTTTTTCTCAGTTTGGAGAATTAGGTGGATTTGCAGCAATCCAAGCCAAGCTCCATTCAGAAGATATAGAACTTGGGGTAAGTTAAACCACTGCTATGTGCCCAGAGTAGGAAGTTCACTTTATTTGGGTTGGTCTACAATCAGAGGATACAGTCTGGACACATTAAGTTAAATGTTAAATTAAAAGTTAATCTTGGGGCCGGCCCGGTGGCACACTGCTACAGTGCGCCACTTGGGAGTGCGGCGGCGCTCCCGCCGAGGGTTTGGATCCCACATACAGACCGGCCGCTTACTGGCTGAGCGAGGTGCGGGCGCA